CGGGCGCGAGCTGCTGCCCCCTAGCGGGCGGGCGCGGCGCTGTTTCCCGAGGACCTGGCCATGAACGTTTGTAGAAAGAGTTTACCTGCGCCTGTGCAAACAGCAGAAGCGTGGGGACCATCTCCACCTGCAGACGAGGAAAACCCCACTGAGGGCAAGCGAGTTGCTTGCTTCCTTTTTTCTCCGTCCTCCATCCCTCCCTTCCTTTCCTGTACTGGCGTTGAGCCTGGACCTTCACACAACCCCTTTTCCTTTTTTCCTTTTAGTTTTACTAGCACTTACTTGCATATGTAATGATTACATTGCTCTTGGGGAGCTGGCACAGGTACACGACAATCAGTGCTTTCGTTCATCCCCTCCCCCCTTCCTTCTTCCCTCTCCCTTCTTCTAGCTTTTGGCCCTTTTGCATTTGTACTTCCTATTATCTACCTTTTGTCTTGCTCTTTATTTATACTTTGCATTTTTCATGTAAGAGAAATCGTAATAATTAATTTTGTGTGTCTGATTTATTTTATTTCACGTTATGGTCTCAAGGTGCATCCATTTTCCTACAAATGACTCGTTTATCCTTCTTTATGGCAGACTAACTCCATTGTGTACAAATGCCATACTGTATTTTTTAAATCCATTCATTTGTTAAATTTTGAGATAGGGTCGTGCTGAGTTGCCCAGGCAGAGCTTAACCCTAAGAATTTTCTGCCTCAGCTTCCCAGAGTACAGAGGTTACAGGTCTGAATCACCATGCCTGTCTGGGTGGCTCCTCATTTCTCACCCTGGTAAGCGACAAAGCAAAAACTAGAACCCAGTCCTCTGAGGCTGGCGTCCAACAGTGACTCCAGGCTGCAGTGCTGGGTGCTGGGTCCAGGGCTGGCCAGGTAGAGCATGTGGTCTCTTCCCTCATGATACTTAGGATCAGACTGAGAAAACAGACACGTTACACTGCCAGGGCCTGAGCAGCCATGTTGTGTTACACTGTAGTAAAGTGGTTGTTTAGTGACCGCCTATAGAATGAATTTGCATATGGAAGAAGAAATGTTAAGAGGACAGTATGAGAAATCCACTAGGCAAATGTTTGTGAGATGGGAATGCCCTTTGGAGGAGAAAATGTGAAATAAGAAAGCTGTTAGTAATGATGACTATAGCCACGTGTAGTGGCACACACCTGTAATCACAGCACTTGGGAGGCTGAGGCAGGAGAATCGCCACGACTTCAAGGCCAGTCTGCGTCACAGTGAATTTAAAGCTGGCCTGAAGTACATATAGCTATAGCATTTGCTCTGCTCCTGTCTTTCTCACAAACCTCATGGCAATCCTGCATGTGTGTGTTATCTTCACCACTGCCCTCCTACAACAGAGTTTATGGAGGTTAAATATCCTCTCTAGGAAGTGGCTGAGCTTCGCTTCCAGGCCAGGCAGTTTCAGGACAGAGCTTGCTCTCTGAACTATTCCCATGGGCGGCAGGTTTTTCCCCACAAAGGAAACAAATGGCCCTTGGTGTAGTTAGGCTGCTGCAGGCTTTGGAACTCTGTCTAGGGATTGTGACAGACACCCATGCTTGAGAACCCAAGTCCTTTAAATGACACCTAGTTCAAGTCTGCCCATCTCAGTGAAGACTGAAAGTGAAGAGAATCTTATCATATGTTGGGAAATCTTTGAGCAGCACTGAGCATGATCTCTCTCTAGATCCCTGTGCTACTAAAAGCCCTGTGCCCAGGTCCCTTCCTTCCCCAAGTGTTTTATATGAGCAACATCCTTGGCAAAACCACATGTTAGATAATTCCAGGTCTTCTGTGATCAGAATCACAAGGACTCGCCCTCTTCCTCACTAGATTCCTGAAAAAATGGAATTCTGTCCCCCTGTTAAGAACCCTGGAGAAGCCAGGCATGGTGGCTCACACCTATATCCCGGCACCATGGGAGGCTGAGGCAGGAGAATCAATTCAAGTCCTACCTAGGCAACTTAGTTATTAAGCGAGACTCTGCCTCAAAATTAAAAATAAGGCAAAGGTCCTGGGTTCACTCCTCAGTACCACAAATAAAATAAAACATCCCTAGAGAAAGCTTTAATATGAGACAAGAAAGGACATTTTTCTCATCAAGTGTTATAGGATTCAAAGATTGTCTACTTAGTACAACACAATAACCAGCATTATAATCTCAGCATACACTCTAGAAGAATCACATCCAATGAAAATTTCTTTCAGAAGATATTTTTAAGTCAAGAAACACATTTAGAACACATCAAAAGTGGAGAATTTTTAGAACTTTTTTTTTTTTACTGGAGATAGAACTCAGGACCTTGTGGTTGTGAAGCAGGTGGCAGCACCACTAAAGCTAAATCCCCGGCCCTTAGAACTATTTTTAATAGAGATATAATGGGTACCCTGCAAGCACAAGGGCCTGAGTTCAATCCTCGGTACCAAAAAAGAAAAGAAAAGAAATATAATGGGTCACATCATGCCTTAAATTTTTTAGTAATACATTTTAAAAGTAAAAAGAAGCTAGTGAAGTCAATTTAACTGTATATTTTATTTAACCCTAAGTATTATTCTTTTGACACTACAATCACATTTGTAAATGTGACAAGAAAGTAGTGAACTTAATTGTATACTTTACTTAACCCAAGATGCCTTAAGACATTCTCTTTATTCACTGTAATCACAGTGAAATACTAATGAGATACTTTGCACTCTTGTGTGTGCATATTGCAGTCACAGCACATGGCATCACAGATGAACTCCTTTTCAAGGGAGGTGGAGATATTGCCTGGAACAGCACAATTCTATACCAAATCTGTGCTATGAGATACTATCTTCTCCAGCTATGTATTTATTTAGAGGTAATGAAGATTGAACTCAGGGCCTTCATTGTGAACTACATCCTCAGTTAATTTTTTTTCCTTTTAAGATCGTGTCTGGCTAAGTCTCTAAGTTGCCTAGGCTGAGCTCAAACTTGTGATCTTCCCGCCTCAGCCTCCCAGACTGCGAGGGTTATAGACCTGTGCAGCTGTTCCTGCCTTGCTGCTACATTGTCTCTGCTCTAACACTTTCAAAAGTACTGATCGACCCCAGCTCAAGGCGGACCTTCGGCCCTTTAGTGAGAGCCCGCCAGCGACTGCTGCACGGAGGGGCAGGAGGCTCCCTACCCAGTGCACCCGCCTCCTCTTCCTTTTCCCTTTTTCCTTCCCCTTGCCCGTCCCCTTCCTCCTCGTCCTTTCTCTGCCTTCTTTATCTTTTGCTGCCGCCGCGAGGCAAGCAGTGGTACTGCCCCACCGGCTTTGTTGGCTGGGCCAGCCTGAAAAGGCCGCGCCATAGCGTTGCTAAGGACGCTCGTAGAGACCAGCTGGTCGGTGGGTGGACGGTCCAGTGGTCCCAAAATATACACAGATTACCTGCCCGAAGGAGCCACTGTCAAAAACCCAACGGTACGAGTGAAATGTGGCAATATAACTTCCGCACATTTGATTCCTAAATTTGTAGAACTTAAGTTTTCTCAAGTGTGCACCTTGAGAACTAAAGCCCTGTAGGTTTGAGCCGGCTTCCTCGCAGGACGTCCCGGCGATCGTGGTCCCCGGCGTTTGCTGCCTTCCTGAGGACGTCGCCCCAGCACACCCCTTCCGGTCCTTCTTTCTCTGAAGCGGAGAAGCAGTGCCTGTCCCGCTTTCTCCCGAGGCTCGGCAGAGATGAACAGGGCCACAGTCTCTTGCTCCTCACTGCACCGTGGAGCCCAGCACAGGGAAAAAGGAAAAGGAGGAAGGGGAGGCAAAGAGAAGGCGAGGGAGGGAGGATCTCGGTGGGGTGGGGAGCTGGGGTAGGACCCAGGCTTCCCCGCACCATTAAAAGAGAAAAGGCTAACACTGTTTCTGGAAAATATTTATGAGGGGAGGAAAAGGCTGGTGAAATGGAGAGGGAGGGAGCTGAGACGCAAAGCAGAGCCTGTGATGTGATCCTGACCTTGTAAGAACCCGTGCGTGCAGACAGAAAGGAGGAAGAGAGAGGTGATCGCCATCTTGGCGGCCATTGTCTCTAGGGATAGGACTTGCCTGCTTTTCCTTGAGACTTTCTTTTCGACTTTAAGACTCTTCTGTTTATTTATGTCACTATCTCATTTGTATCATTTAAGATCCCGTCACAGAAAACACAAGTCACAGAAAACAGCTCCAGACAGAGCAGCAGAAACAGACTGTGTCCGGGCGTGGTGTGACCTTTGTCAGCCTGGGCAGTGCCGCCAAAGGATGAAAAGGGAAGCAGCCAAGTGGCCTTTCCTGACCTGAGGTCAAGGATCTCTGCCCCTGCCCCTTGGGGGGGGCAGACTCAGGTAAGCAGCAGTCAAGGTGAACCCAGAGACCCTCCTGACTCAGCCTCCAAATAATATAGATGAGGTAGAACAGACCGATGTGGCTCCTGAATGTTGCCCTCAAGGTCAACCACGCTGAACTTTAAGGAATTTTACAAAGTGTCACGTTTAAGGCTGATCTCTAGGGAAAATGCCCACAACTTCATCAGTATTCACGGGTTCTAAAAATCTCCTTAGGAATAACCTTCAACCCACCACATGCACCTGTGTGTGTGTGTGTGCGTGTGTGTGCGCACACACACGCACACACACACTTTTTCTTGCATAGTACTGGAACATGAACCCAGGGGCCCATTCTGTACTACATGCCCAGCCCTTTCTTACTTTTTATTTTGAGCTGGAGTCTTGATAAGTTGCCCAGGTTTTGGCCTTGAACTTGTGATCCTTCCTGCCTCTGCCCCCAAGTAGCTAGACTTACAAGTGCTAGACTTACACCATGCCCCACCACAAATTTATTTTTAAAATACACATCATCCTAATGACATGCACTAAGTAATATAATCCATATAGATATTAGGCAGTGCAGTGTTGAGAAGATTGTCTGATTTCACAAAATCTGACTGTTTAATGAACAGACTTGAATCCAGCCCTAAGTATACTTCAAAACAGTTGCTCATGAAAACAAGATTAGATTAAAAGAAAAAAAAACTGATAAACTTGGAAAAACTTTATTCTTGCAGTTTGGGAAAAATATGTTGTTCTATATAGGCTGGCTTAATTACAATTTTTATCTATTTCTTTATTCAGTTACATATAAAATTATATATGGAAAAAACATGCAAACAGGTGCTAGGATTAGCATATAAGATGAAGGTCTATAGTAAAAGCTAATCCTTTACATAATTTTTGGGCTACCTTGAACCTATTAGTGTTATAATTTTTCAATGATTCTAAATTTCATATAAAGGTCAGTTTTTGATTTGTCTATTTCTTTAAGTTATATGTGTTTCATTTTTCTGTTAATAAGAAACATATGAGAACTATAAAAAATTCTTGCAATTTGTAAGACATGGCCACACAATTCTCTCCAAAGATCTACTTTAACATGTTAGTATGTGTTTTCTTCTGAAAAGTTATACACATTTTTGACAAAGATTTATATGATTTGAAAGAGCTTTAAAAAAATCATCCAAGCACTGAGTGTGGTGGCGCGCATGCCTATAGTCCCAGCACTCGGGAGGCTGAGGCAGGAGGATCGCTGTGAGTTCGAGACCAGCCTGGGCTACATAGTGATTTCCAGGTCAGTCTCAACTACATAGTGAGACCCTGTCTCAACAAAAAACAAAAACAAAAAAAAATCATCCATTGTATTTTCAAGCCTTAGCATAATTTTCAATTGCTCAACAGCTTAAAAACATATTGATGTTACTTGATTTTATTGATACATCAGCTACTTTTCTGTAAGTAGATATAATTTTTCCAAAAAATACTCAGTTTTCTCATTCTTTCGTTTTTCAATAGCATCGACCTTTTCAAGGCAATGGATATTACACTTTGTACCTAAAACAAAAAGAAAAGACAATAGGTTAGAATATTGTGACAAATGTTCTAAAAATACTTCAATTGATTTTAAAAACAGCATGCACTGAAGGCCTTTTTTTTTCACTGAAAATGAGGAAGTACTGAGCCCCAATTTTCCTGAACTCTGAATTATTATTTTTATCACTTCTAACTCCCAAGTGCAAAAATAAATGTATTGCCTCTCTGGAAAAGTCCAAATGTCTTTAACAGAAAATATTCACCTAAAAAGGCATATTACAGAGTCTGGTCCCTCTTCTGGATAAAATGGTCTTCAGTAAAATCGCTCTATCTTTTAAACTGCATACACTTTAGTTATATACACTAATAGCCACTAACAGCTCAGAACAGTTCAGTGTTGACTTCACTGGAAAAGTCAGAGCAGAACTTACCAAAGAGTGCTTGGATTTCAGAATCTGGAACATAAAATGGTGGGCCTAGGAATAAGAGAAATGTAGTAAAGAATAATTTCTATAACTTTAGTTCTAAAGAGAAATAAATCCTTTGGGCCTAGCTTTCCACAACCTCGTGATCTAGGTTTGCTTATTCTATATACAACTTATCAACCAAACAGGTGAGGATGCAAAATGATCTTCTGATTTTTTTGGGGGGTGCTGGTTTTCCGAGACAGACTCTTGCCATGTAGTTCAGGCTGGCCTTGAGCTGTGTAGCCAAGGGGACTTGAATTTGTGGCAGTCCTCCTGCCTCAGCCTCCCATGTGCTGGGACTATAGGTGTGTACCACTGTGCCTAGACTTTAATAGCCTCCTTCTCTCTCTCTCTCTCTCTCTCTCTCTCTCTCTCTCTCTCTCTCTCTTGCATATCTCATACCAAAGAAGTAAACTGGCTTATTAAGGGGACAGAAGTAGTCACATTTGCAGATGGAACTGCTGCCTGAGCCAGCCTGGGGACTCTGCACATTGAAATCAGAGTGGAGTCCACTAGTGAGTTCCTCTGGGGTTTCCACTCTCTGAGGCCCTGGTTTTCTGCCTCCAGCACTTCTGACCCAATTCTGTGTGCTCCTCCCACTCTGCCCTGGGACCTGGAGAAGAACCTTCTCTCTGCCCTTTGGAGACAGCAGAGTTCTGAGTTTTCACCCTAAACAGCCCTGCTGTATCTTCCTTCCCGGGCCTCCTGTCCACACATGGAATTTAAGTCAGATCAGCGGAGCTAACTTCTGCCATTAAGTAGGAACACTAGTTCTTATTTACTTATCATTTCGGTACTTGGGATCGAACTCAGGACCTTGCGCTTATGAGGCAGGCTCAGCACCATTAAGTCCTCGCTCTTAGTTCTCATTTTTTAATGAGCTTTTAAAACTAGATTTATTCAAACAGAGAAAAAAAAAGACTAACATATAAATCTTAACACACTTTTTAAAAATCTTAATTAAAAATCAAACTAGGGGGCCGGGGATTTAGTTCAGTGGTGCTGCTGCCTGTCTCACAAGTACAAGGTCCCGAGTTTGATCCCTGGTACCAAAAACAAAACAAAACAAATCAAAAATCAAACTAGGAGATTCTACAAATTAAAATTTTATGTATTTAGTTTGTTATTTCTCCCTAAAAAGAAAAGTCCAGCCATGACAAATGCTAAGTTTCAGTGGCCAGATTGTGGGGCATAGCTCAGCAGGACATGGTTGGGCCCTGGACTCCACCCCTGCACAAAGTAAAAAAAAAAAGGGGGGGGTGTCATTGTCCAAATTCAACAAAACAAATCCAGAAGAAAACATCAGAGCAAAGACAGTCCCAATGAAATGCAATGGGTAAAGTATAAAATTTCAGAAACTACAAAACAGCAGGGCAGAGATGTTCCTGCCAGTCCCTCTGTCCTCCTATGAGGGTACATTTGTGTGTACACAAAAATGTCTATAGCTCCCATTTGCCCCGAATAGAAGTATCTTGGTGTACAAGTATATTACTACTACGTTTCCTATGAGATAAATCAGGATAAAAGAATTTTTACCCATTTTGTAGAATCAAATCAGGACATAGGAAAACGGAAAAAGGCAGGAAGAAAAATAAGCAGCTTTACCTTCAAATTGTGTTGGATCATAAGAGAAAACAGACATGAGGTAGAGAAACCCTTTTCTCAGTAGGTACAGCACTGTATCTGCGTAGCTAAAAAGAACACAAAAAGGTCTTTGTTATATTTCTCTCTGTAGACAGAGGTTGGAGGGGCTGAGAAGGGTAGGGAGCCAGCATTTACTCTCTTCAACACTACAGTGGCACCTTGACTCATGAGCCTTTTTGTTTGTAACAGTGTGGCTCACAAGCAGAAACGTTTGGGAAAATTTTGTTTTCACTCCCGAACCCTGCAGCAGGAGATCAACAGGACAGCGGCCATCTTTCCCGCACGAACACAAATGCAGCCTCTTTTCCAGAATTGTGGAATAAATTAAGTTTGTAAACTGAAGCATTACTGTACTGAGTTTAATTCTAACAACTGCATGAAGTTGGTTCTTGTCTTAAAAGCCAAGGGGAGCAGCTTGGTAGAGGGGGAGCCAAGTGGAAGTCTGTTCCCAGGGCTGGTCAGACTTGAAAGACATCACAGGAAGACACAGAGGCTCAGTCCAGCTGGCTGTGGTACTCAGGGGCCGGCTGACCTCAGACTTGTACTTCCTGGGGCACTGCCATGCATCTCTGTGTTCAGGGGGCAGTGGCTCCCAGGCCTGACTGGCTACCAGAATACCAGGCACTCGCTGGAGGAAGATGCCCGAGTTCCAAACTCCAGACTGGCTCAGCAGGTCTGCTGGGGCCTGGGATGTTTCAGTCTCACCAGCGCTGGGAGCTCTCTGGGGTTGAAGGCAAAAGGTATGGAGCACAACTATCTTCTTCAGTTAGTTGGAGAGACAAGACTACCATGCAGGTAAAAGTTCAAGGTGGTCTGAGATGAAAGTTCTCCAGGCACGGGATAAACCGTGACTCGTAGGAGTAATTCTTCACAGCAGTGTCTCAGGGAGGAGGTGACACTGTCTCCCTGCCGTGTCTCGGCTCACAGGTGGGACCTGACCCTAACAAGCCCCACCAATGCAGGACCGTGAGGCGGATGCGACCAGTCACCAGCTCAGAAGCTGTTGTGAGAATTCAGAGCTGGCACACAAAGCACTTAGAACACTGCTTGGTGCACAGCGAGCACTCAGGATTTAGCTTTTGTGATTCCCTTTCACATCTTCTACATAAGCTCCTCCAATTCAGAGTGAATTGGAGTGGATCTCTCTTCCTGGGAAGCAAAAGAGCCAGACTGAGGCAAATTTCCAAGATGCATCCTTTGTATTTTAACTTTCTGCTTCTTGCTCTTAAGAGGAGGGAATAAGAAACTTGTCTCTGTGGAGGAGATCAGTCGACTGCCTTGGTGGTGTTTCCTTGATTGAAATGCTTCATTCTTTTTGACATGAGGCCTTGAAATCCGTCAGAAATTTAGAAAACATTGCCAAGTGCGACGGTGCTCACCTGTAATCCCAACTCCTCAGGAGGCTGAAGCAGGAGTTTGAGGTCGGCCTGGGCCCAGTCTCAAGAAGAAGGGGGGGTGGGGGCTGGGGATATAGCTCAGTGCTCCTGGGGTTCAATTTCCAGTAAAAAGTTCAGAAAAGTGAGAAAGGTGTGCACCACTGATTTCCTTTAGGAGACAGATGTGAGTCACAGCAGAGAACACATCAGATCCTGACGGTGGATAATGCAAGCAAAAGATGCTGAATCCTGAGGCAGTACTGATGACAGCACTGAGACTAACCACTAACCTACCAAGTCTTGGTGCAAAGATAAAGTGGTTTTTTTCTTTCTACTGTTTCAAAGTCAGTAATTATTCTGCTAACAAAGGCCAGCATGTCCCCAGGAATACTTGGGGCTATGACCTCACATATATACACCCGGCTGGGTGAACTAGAGGGGTAACAGACTCTGAGCACAGCAAGCTGGCTCCCCAATTAGATCACCAGATGGGGCCTCTGGCTCCTTTCTGGCCAGGCCTGAGTCCAGCTTGGAGTCCACTCAGATGGATTCTAGATCTAAGGACAGATAAGGTGGAGGTGCCTGGGCAGAAACCATGTATTTCCCATGTTCTGTATACGGTTTGCTCTCATTTATTAAAAAATATTTACTAAGCTCTTCCTCTGGGCTAAACATGGGACATGCTAAATACTGGGGACACTGCTACACATAGTGTAATGGCTGCCCCTGCTCTACCCTTGATGGTATCCAGTCTGGTCCACAGTGCCTTGGGGATTTTACCAAGGTAAATCAAGGTTCCAGGAAGGACCAGCCTCAGAGAGCAAGAAAATCTTCCACAAGTAGAAAGACCTACAATTGTAGATGTTCAGCAAAACTGAGTTCTGCATACAAACATGGTATTTCCCTGGGTTGAGGGGCAGCTCCAGTAGACAACTGCTCAGCACACAAGAAGCCTTGGTTCCATCCCCAGGAATGTTTAGAAATGCAGTGTTTAAGGAGACGAAGAAGTCTCCGGTAGCTGATAAAGGACACTGGTGACACATGGGAGATGTAAAGAAGACACAAGACTTATGAGAATGGTTAGGAGCAAGAAAAGAGCTGAAAATATAAAAATTAAATGGGGCAAATTCATGTACAATTTCTTCAATTATTTCCCCGACATCTGACACAGTACATATTTGGAACACAGTAGGAACTTAATAAAAACTTGTTGAATAACTGAGTGAAAGTAACAAAGTGATCATTAGGGAGTAAATATAAGAGAGAAAATCACGGCTGGGGCATGGCTCAGTGGTAGAGCACTTGCCAAGCAGGTGAAAGGCCCTGGGTTCGATCCCCAGCATAGCCGGTAGAGGATGGTTTTCCCGGTAGGGAATGAAGACCTCCTGGGATTTGTAGAAGATGATGGTTCCCAAGAACAGGTGAAGGAAGGGTGACAGCAGAAAGAGAAGGGAAAACAAGAACAAAGATTATCCTTGGAGGAAAATGCATCTATTTCTGATATCACATGTTCTAATTAATATTCAGTTTAACAATAAACCTTACTCATGGAGTAAAAAAATTTTTTTTTGGTACTGGAATTGAATCACAACCTTGCACTTGTGAGGTAGTTACAGTGTGGAGTAATTAATTTTTTGAAATGAAAATTTTATTTCACAGGTGTGGAGCCTGAATGTTTGGGCCATGTATCAAGTGTCTCCACACCGCTAAAAAAATTCAACATTTACATGCTTTACCTAAGTAAGTGGGTGTTATTATTTGCATTGCAAGATGCTGTATACAGTTGTGATGACATTTTCCTCATATGCTTTGGCATATTTTATTTTCTAGTCAGATTACATATAAGAATGGCTACTCAAAACATCAAATAATAAATGCTCTGGTAGTAATAGGGGCTAATGTTTTATAGTTCTCTGGAGTTAACAAGGCACTTTTCACAGTTTAGCTCCTTTTCATATCCACACCAACACTTTGATGGCCTGGGGAGGATCGGGAGCGTGGACTCGGTCGGTCATGGGCCTGCTGCCTAACTGCAGATAAGGAACGCAACCCCTGCCCTTTGTTCCCTTATACAGAAATAGCAGCAGTGTAGGCCTCACCGGCCTGTTCTGTAGATTAAATACGCTGGCCCACACTGGGTATCCAAACCAGTCCTGTTATAGGACAAGGGTCCAACAGGTCAGATGAGTGAGGCAGTGGGGACGTCTCACTGGGAACATTCCACCTTTGCAGAGGAGTAAACTGAGGCTCAGAGAAGTCAAATCTTGTGACTGACAACACAGCTTGGAAGTGACAGAGCTGCAGGCTTTATTCCCAGGTCGCTACAGAGAAATTCTATACTTTCATAGAATTCAGCTAAAAAAATCCCCACCACACCTAAAGAAACGATATTATTAGGCTTGAGTGTTCTTTCCTTTCTCAATCCTCACTCCCCAACTCAGGCATGTTCGTGTTGCGACAGCTGGACCGCCACAAGTGGCGCCTGAACAGGGATCTGAGTATTGAGGGATCCAGCGAAGGACACCGCTGGATAAAGAATAAAAGGAGATCTCAACAAAAAGAAAAAAGAGGACCTTCAAAGGGAAGGCAGAAGAGGAGCGGTTAAGGAACCACGCCTGCTCCCGACCTAGCCGCCATAGCTCCAGTGCCAGGAAGGTAGCCACGCAGGTGCCCCTGAACCCCTATACCCCCCACCCCGCACTCTCAGACCTCCTGACTGTGCAAGTCTTTGGACCCACTCTGCAAAGACAGAGGTGGTCATCAAGGGTATTTTTCTGAGTTCTCAACTTTGAACATCTTTAAAGAAAGGGCGTGGGAAACCTGTAATAGAACGTTGTGGAGTTCAACCATTCAGAAGGTTGGGGAACTCAATCTGGGCCTTGCAGCCCGAGGTCAGTCAGCGTCATGGGGTTCAGCCATCAGCTAACTGAGATCAGGGGTCTTGCATCCTCGCTCTGTCTGAGCCATTAAATGGTAAATACACTATATTGAAATTTTGTTCATGGCAGACATGTTCTGGACTGCTTCTTGATTTCAATTTAATTCAAATGATTTAAGGGTGATAGACTAGTGACTACCACAGGTGGTCAGTGTCCAAGTTGTGCTTGATCTTAATGTGTTGCTGATTGTATCAGTTGGGGTAAAGCATTGCCGTTGATTTGATGAGCTGTTTTCTCTGATGTTATGAAGATGAGAATGTCTGTGGGTCGTTAGAGACACAGAAGCTAGGGTGCAACTATATCAGGAAGATTTGGGTGATAATCCAGAGATTAAACCAAGGACAGTCTGACAACAAAAATTAAAATGAGAAAAGACTTAAGCAAGACACAAGGACAGACTTCCAGTTTACCAATGGCAAACAGTAGGGCAAATGAGGATGAAAAGGCC